CCTTTTAAAAAGGCGGGCGGGACGCGGGAAAATGCATTGGAAGGCGGGTGTGTCCCGCCAAAAGCGGGACGTCTGGTCACCTTATCATAGTGCCCTCACGTGTTCCAAGGCGTGTCAGACTATGTCAAAGGATTGGCATTAAAAGGGGGTAGAACATGGAATTATCCTGCAGGTCTCTGTTTATAGTCTGCTTTACATACTTCATCTATATGTGGCACCATTTGGACAAAATGATGTACAAAACATCCTCATTCAAAAGATTGGTACAGATAAAGTAAAATAATTAAACAAGCACAGTAACTTCACTAACTCACCCACCATACCTGTCACCCATACCAACTCATTTAAATCTTTATATTCCCCTTTTTCCCATCTCTCTCATTTATTTTGCTTTCTTCTCTATTTTTTCCTCCTCTACCTTGGCATTTGAGAGAAAAACAGCTTGGGCAAAGAGATTGGTAACCTTCCTCTGCCTTTCACTCCTTTCTCAAAAACCTTCCAATTAGTGTGTGTGTGTGTGTGTGTGTGTGTGTGTGTGTTTGTGGACAAGAGCAAGGAAAGCCAAAAGTAAAGGGCCAGAGGCCAGGATGGTCCATTACAATAACCACAAGCAAGTATGAACTACTTCTCACAGAATGAAATGGATGGCTCTTCCTCCCTTACAATGGCAAGACAAGATGCAGGATTTGAACCTTGGGACTGTGCAACAGAGAGGGCATAAAGCAGGGGTATATCTAACATTATGGATGCTTCGGAGAACCTCCAAATACCACACCTGACTGGCCCCGCCACCCCACCTCACCCCTTCCAGCAGTCTCCATGTGGCCAGGTAAGTGCAGGGCCCACACGGAGACTCAGGAAGGGGGGAAATCAGGCCTCCTGGAAGTTCTGGAAGGCCAAAAATGGGCCCATTTCTGGCCTCCGGAGAGCCTCCGGAGCTAGGGAAGGCCGTTTTTGGCCTTCCAGAGGCTCAAGGAAAGCCTCCAGAGCCTAGGGAAGTCAAAAATGCCCCCTCATGCTATGGTGAATGAGACTGACTAGGCCACACCTGTTGCTGAAATTTTTGAAGCTCACTTCTGGCTTAAAGCATAGATTTTGCATTAGCTACTGTTCTATCATTATTAAAGACTTTCCTAATACTTATAATAAATAAATTTCAGCAGGGCAGTGTCCTTGGAATTTCTGGCTGTCAACCTTCTAGTCTGAATGAAGCTGGCCAGAAGTATTGCAAATGAAAAATAGCAGAAAGTGGGGGGGGGGTAAAATATGTTTTTATTTTCGTGGACACCTCCATACAAACACACACACTCTTACAAAGACTTCTATTCCAAATGACCTATTCTTTAAAGCAACAGTTACTGCACTGCTGATGTCAACATTTAGATAAATTACCAAATTTCACTCATTGTTTTAAAGGTATCATTTAAAAATCTCTGGGTACATCCAATAACAGTTGACAGTCATAACGAAAGAAAAACCCTGCATTCAACAGAAACAGGAACACGTTGAGACTTGAAGTCTGAGAGGCACCCCATAATGGCTCTCATGGGCTGCTCTAAACCTTCTTCAAGAATAGTAAAATAGACCTTCTGAAAATACATTATCGGAAGTAAAATTGATAACTATTATATAAAACGTTGCTATTTATTGTAAGCTAGTAATGAAAAAAAAAACATTAGGAGATGAAGAGAGAAGATTAGTTACTATTTAAAACATCCCATCTAATTGTCCACTATGGACCATGTCTTGGATGACAACATCTAATTTGAATAGTGTTGCTAGATGGAATATGTTCAAGCAATAATGCAAGGCAATAATGCAAGGTAAGTGACCATCTGTTTCCTCTTGGGGGGAAAAACAGTGGTTGAGAAAGAACACTTGATGACAAATTCCAGAGGAGGAGCTGTACTAGGTTGTCAAAGCAAGAACAAACAGGAGTCATATGTGATGCCTTGTAGATCCGGCAGGTTTACTGCGGCATATCTGTTAATCATTTAGGGTGTCACAGCAGGATGGCTTCTTAGATTTCTTTTTTCCTGCTAATTGGGCAGTGTCTCACTATTAATATTGCAGCATAGGTCAGGCTGACCTGGACTGCAGCCCATGATTTGGTTAAACAAACATTGTAATAGGCATGTTGCTGTCTGGATTGACTCGGAGGTGCATTCCACTGATCAAAATGGCATTACTCTATAAATTTTATAATTTATAACTGAGAGGAGAACATTCAGCATGGTTGTTTTCTAATTGATTCTCTTTTCCCTTTTTTAAGGTTTTAATTGAACAGAAATATAGGGGAAGGACATGTGGACTGTGTGGAAATTTTGATGGGCAAGAGTTGAATGAGTTTCTGAGTGACGGTATGATTATCATTATTATTTACTAAATATAAATGCCACCTGACTTCTAATGACTCTATCAATTAAAACATGAAGAACATGGCAAAAAACCCCAAGAAGATAGCAAAGGCAAGATAACAGACCAGGTGGAAATAAAAGAAAACAATCTAAATTTAAAGGTGGCTCCAGACATTCCCAACAAATGCCTGGGTGAAGAGTTAGGTCTTCAGGCCTTCAAAACACCAACAGCTATTTGGATCTTGGGGTGGACCTCAGTCCAGAAGGCAGATTCACTTCTGGGGTCCTCATTGATGATACTGCTTAGTTGAAGGAACCTGGGGCATTCCAATCCTGCCAGATCAAATCGGCCATGCAGATGCTATGGGACATCCCCAGGTAATCAGGCCCTAAACCATATCAGGTTTTCTAGGTGACAACTAGCACCTTTAGTCACACCTGGAAGCAAACTGGCAACCAGTGCAACTCACAAAAGTAACATTCTGTCTATACAAGACTATTCAAGGCAAGAAATTACTGAGCTTCTTACTCAGAGAAAACTATTTAATAAGATAATAATACTAAAGATCATGACATGATTTCCAGACTTTTTTTTATTTATAGGTCCTGCTCAGGGAGGAGGGTTCCATCTTAAGTACAGGTAGTCCTTGACTTACAATCACTGTTGAGCCCAAAATTGCTGTTGCTTAACAAGACAGTTTTTAAGTGAGGTTTGCCCCATTTTATGGTATTTCTTGCCACAGTTGTTAAGTGAATCTCTGCAGTTGTAACATAGTTGTTAAATGAATCTGGCTTCCCCATTGACTTTGCTTGTCAGAAAGTGGCAAAAGATGATCACATTGACCTTGGGACAATGCAACCATCCTAAATATTTGCCAGTTGCCAATCATCCAAATTTTGGACACATGACCATGAGGATGTTGCAACACTCGTGTGAAAAACAGTCATAAGTCACCTTTTTCAGTGCCATTGTAACTTCAAATGGTCACTAGACAAATCGTTGTAAGTAGAGGGCTACCTGTATGATTCAGGATTTGAAATGCTCAACTGGATTGATAATGTTCTTCTTGTACTATAAAACTAATGAGTTAATAGTAACTGATTTGGATTTTACAGGTGTTGGGCTTATGCGGGGGGTTACAGAATGCAAAAAGGGATGGAAAAGACTGAAATGACCATTCTTTGCCCAAGCCCCAAAATATTTCAAAAGGTCAATTTTTCTCTAGAGCAGTATTTTTCAACCTTGGCAACTTGAAGAGGTATGAACTTCAGCTCCCAGAACTCTCCAGCCAGCTGTGCTGACTGAAGAATTCTTTAAGACTCATTTTGATCAAGTTCAGTAACATGTATATCTCAATTAACAGGTATTCTTCTGGACCCATATAAATATGCAAGTTTACATAAAATTGATGATCCTGCAGAGATCTGTCCTTTTGAAGGGATGACGACTCCTACCATTCCTCAAAATAAAGATGTAAGCACTATGTCATTATTCTGCTATATTTAAATTCCCTTGGGAAAAGGGTGTAATAAAGAAATATTACAAATCTGAAGAAGAATAGACGGCTCCATCTATCTGAAAGGGATTGAGGGAAAGTGTGTCTATTGTAAACTTACCATTTTTCTATTATAGAATTTTTCAATAATTTTTGCTTTCCATTCATTATGGAGTTGCATTTTCTCTCAGTTGTTTCTCAGTTAGTTAGTTCCCCATCTTCTCCTGCTCTGGTTTAAGCAGGAGGTTTCCCTTTTCATCTGAGCACAGGGAATCGGAAAAAAAAAATCCTTACTGCTAAAAAAGAATATTTGTAACAGTATTAAACAGTAGGGTACTTCGTCCTCTCTGAGTGCTGATTTTCTTGCAGACAACCTAGTTTGGTAATGAAACATCTGCAAGAAAACCACCAAACTCAAAGACCAAGAAGGACCCCACAAATATTTTTGCTATGAATTTTTGCTGTGATTTTGACGCTGATATGAAAAGGAAAACCTCATTTTCCATTTTCTAGAAAGCAGCAGCAGGACAAGACCAGGAACAAGCTGTGACGCAAGAGTGACAATCTGTCTAGCTTGAACCACAGAGATCTATACTGCTGAATATTTGTAGCTTGATGGGATATTCTTCAAAACTCTTAGTGGTAGTCTTCAAAATTGACAGTGTGTGTGCCCCTTGATTGAGACTATATGTTTGTTCATTTTCTTCTTAGGCCGCACTTTGCTTCCAACTGTTACGCCTCGTGTCACCGTCTTGCAATATTTCCAAAAAAGAGTTTGTTATCCGTTGCCAACTGGATATGCAAGACTGCAGCAATCCAGGACACTCCAATTGTAGTTGTGCTACTCTTTCAGAATACTCACGGCAGTGTTCCATGTCTCATCAAGAGGTGACCAACTGGAGGACCAAAGATTTCTGCTGTGCGTTCAATCATTTACATCTCTAAATATCCATGCTGGGTAATATGTTTTAGCATCAACGCTCTGAAAGTGTGCTTTCGTTGCAAATAGCACTCTAATGATTTGTATTAAGAAATACAAGTGAAGAGAGGAATCCTTGTTAATGGTTCTTCTGCTGCTGCTGCTGTGCCTTATAGTTGCACACCCGCTTGGTAGTTATTTTTGGATGGTTTTGCCTTTGATTGCTTCTTATCTTTTGCTGTATTTCTTCTCATCACTGCCAACTCCCATCAGTGTGTCTTGAAAGCTGTATCAAAGTCAGCTAATGATTATTGCCTGGATTTACTACCAAAGTATACATCTAAATCTAGCCAATTTTTATAGTCTCTTTAAAATAGCCTAGAGTCCAGAAAGATGGATTGTAGATGCAATTGTATTATGAATCATAATGCATGCAACTCAGTGATAACTGTTCATACACAAAACAGTCTCATCAAGGCATAGTGTTATATATTAAGGCTATGCAATCCTTTGAGTTTGATTTAGAATAGCTGGAATTATCTTGGCAGTTGTGTCATTTTGGAAACTAACATAGCAGCAGTATGAGTTGCAGACTGGCACTTTTGTGCATTTCAAAGTACCTTTTTCAAATTAATAAGTAAATGCATTGCTTTCAAAAATGTAATACATTTCACACATTGATTACTATTATTAGACAACCCTTTTCACATATATACAAACTCACAAGTGTATATGTGGATTCATCAAACCTAGGATTTTAGGGATTTTTCCCATAAATGTGGCACACAGTAGAGTCTCCCTTTTCACTATTTGGAAACTTTTCTCCTTATTGGTGAAACTGTGGCCAACTCTTATATAGAACACATTTAAATATTAACAAATCCATTATGAGTTACTTAATTAGAATGGTTCTGGTCCCGTATTAAGCCTGTGAGATGCAAGTTGGCCACTCCTAATATAAGTAAAGAACAGGCCATTTCCCCAACCCCCAATCCAGTGGATTGTTGGGAAGAAATTACATAAGTAGAGTTGGGATTCTGCATGCCCACCAGTAAGATAATTTTCTGGAAAACTGAACAGAATTGAACCAAATTTAATCGGAAGAAAAAAACCATCAAAAGAAAGATCAGAGTAAGAAATGGTGTTGGATCGATTGGGGTTAAAGAGCAAAAAAATAATCCCCTCCCCATCCTCAAACCCATTTCTATGGGAGCAGCTCTGAATATAACTTGCCTCTGTCCTCCCTTTGTCACATAATTCAAAACAGAGCCCTCCCTGTGATTCCCAGTATACATATAAATCAGTGGTGGGATTCACTTACCTTTGCTACCAGTTCGCAAATGTGAGCATGCTTGTGCATGCTCAGAAGGTTGCACATTATGTCAGGATGGGTGGACAGAGTCTCCAGCAGCCACCACTACCGGTTCACCTGAACCCATAAGAACTGGCAGAATACCACCACTGATATAAATGCAACATTAGAGGACAGTAAAATTATGCATGGACGCCCTTCCATAGAAAAGTTGAATTAGCTTGTAACCCAGAAGAAAATCCACATACTTTCTATGACTGTTTCTGGTAAACGGCTTGGAGAATATTCCAGCTGATGTGTTCTGTATGCTTTTCTTGCCTTGTTAAAGACAAACAACAAGACAACCAAGCAGATACACTTACTGGCTAGACAAAAGTTCTCTAAACGCATCAAAGAAAAAAAATACTTTAAAGCAGTTTCCTCAACTCTGAGGATAGAAAAAAGTTAATGTTAAAACATTTTGATTGAATCTTAAATAATAGTAAATTCTAAATAAAGCAACCAGTGAGCATTATATTAAAATTATGTCCATACTAGGAAGAAATAATGGGATATGTTTCAGGATTATGGGATTTATGTGTGTTAGAAGCATCCGCTTGGGCAGGTGAATTCAAAGTATTGTTAACTTCATGCCACAGTATCTTCCACTAGAATGCAGAAACTAATATATTAGGATAATTTCATTGCTGACTTCTTTCTCAATAGAGCCTTCATGTTTAATATATTTTAGTTTCTCGTTGCTGTCTATTATAATTTCAAGTTGGTAGCTATCTGCAAATGATGACACATAATTCCATTCATTGATTGGAATAATAGAGATTCCACCACCAATAGGCAGAGGTTAAAAGGCAGTCATCTCACATCTTAGAAATTACTGATAAATAATGTTGCTTTCTGGAAACAAACAGCTTTGAGAAAATGAAAGCGTAAGAAGGAAACTATTAAGAAATACCCTTGCGTGGTCCAGGGTGCAGATTCTTTTGTAGTTAGAAAGGCAAGTAATTCAGGGGACAGTTCTCTCTGAGGCTGTAAAGCTGTCACAATCTGACAAGATATATCAGCAGACCTTAGGCAGATAGCACACATGCATGAGATCACAATGAGGGGTCTTTTCCCTTCTGGCATGCAATGTCATGGGAAAGTCATAATGGCATATTTTCCTCTTACCAGAAGCCAGCCTCAACATGAGATCACAATAGTGGCCTGTGTTTATAAGCCCAACACTGTCAAACTGTGGCCACTGTGCCCAGACTCTCCTCTGGATGCAGATGGCTTCACAGCAACCCTTCTGTTCCTTAAATAGGCTATATCATGTAGTTTCTCTTTCACTAGCATGAGCATATGAAAGAACATATGGACACAGTTTCTTCTTTTATAAAGATGGATAACATCATTGTGATTACCTAAGGTTCTTGCTTAAAAAAAAGGCAAGTACAGGTATAGAAACAGCAGAAAAGGAGATTTCAATGCCATTCATCCAAAGAGAGATTTTTTTTCTCTTACAGAAGAAATCCATACAATGGCCTAGGATACAACTAACAAGACTTCTGAGAAGATATTAAGACTTTCTGCTTCAGTTTTTGACTAATATAAAAGCACATAGCTAAGATAACGCATGGCTCATTGACTTCTCTGAAGCCATGCCAATCGCAAGAAAAAATGTGTTAGCATAAATTAAATAGATTTTTTAAATTCCTAAATACATTTGATTTGGATTTTATCTTGAAAGTACATGAATGGCAAAAACATGAGTATACACAGGAAAAAAGTCTCTTCTTTAAGCATAGGATCCCAGCTATAGAATACATCATCTATGATAGAATCTTATAGGGTCCTTCAAAATAATCATTCTTAATCAAAATACTGTATCTTATCTATGAGCCATGATGTTGCAGTAGTTAGAATGCAGTACTACTGCTGGCTTCCTATGCTGACTGCCAGCTGACTCCAGTTTGGCAATTTGCTTCTCACTGGCTCAAGATTGACTCAGCCTTCCATCCTTCTGAGGTCAATAAAATGAGGATCCAGATTGTTGGGGGCAATAGGCTGACTCTGTAAACTGCTTAGAGAGGGCTGTAAAAACGCTATGAAGTGGTATATAAGTCTAAGTGCTATTATTATGTTTACTGTTATTTAATCCCATTGGAAAATTTCTGCAAAGTGTTGTTTCTTCAACAATCATAACCTCTGTAGGACATAAATTGACTTTTATTTCTGCATGTTTTAGCATCCCATTTTTATCATAAATTCCATGGGCCAATGTCAAACCCATTATTTGGTTCTGCCTGAAACTCTTAAACCTGTTCCAGGTCTTTAATGTTCTTCGAATTTGCTCTATTCACGGACCTGAAATCGTCATCCCATCAAAAAACAAAACATTTCATTCCTATGCTACCAAGTCATGTTATTTCACATTTGTTTCTGAATGCTGCTTCTTCAGTTAGTCATTTTATTTTCCATGTTAGCCATTCCTCTCTGTATGAATGATTTGACATTAGCTCTGTTTGTCCCTCTAAATTGCACCAGTTTTCACAGAATACAGTGTCATTTTTGAACAAATATTAGAATCCTGTAGCCTTTCCTTACTAGTCCTTGCTATCTTATGGACAAAATTCAGGCAAGTTACTAAATATTGCAAAAAGAAAAAAAACCCATCAATATTGGAATAGAGTAGCTGCAGTGTGGTGTGGTGGCCTAGAGGCGGAGCTCTTGCCTCACAATAAGGAGCCTGTGAGCCTAGGAGGTAGAAGCATCTATTTCTCTATCTGGGCACACTGAGAATATATCTGCTGAACAAAACTCTGCGTTGGTGACAGGAAGAGCGTCCAGCCATTAAAACACTCTGCTAGCTCCATTCAGTTGCCCAGACTCTACCCCGCATGGGATTATGGGGTCGTTAAATGAAGATGCTTGGAGCAGAGTAGCTGATATGATACAGAATATGAGATGAAGAATGAAATCCCAAAGATATAATATTATTTCTATATAATTGAAATTTTACTAGGATTGAAATTTGTAGATTTCATTTCTGTGAAGGCCTAAAGAACAGCAGGGTGACCTAGTAGTGAACTCACTCCCACTCAGAAGATTGAAAGTTCAATCCTAGCTACTCTTAGGTAGGTAAAGAAAAAATATCTGCTGCTAAACTCCACATATGTATGAGGAAGGGCATCTGGCCAGTGAATGCTCAGCTTTGTCCAATTACCCCAACTCTACCCCAAATAGGGGCTACATGATCATAAAAAGAGAGCTTTATTTCTGTCAAGGCCTAAGAATCAAAGTTCAAGATTTATTGGGAAAATAAGAGTAGATTAGCATAAGATCTCAGAAATGAACTGAGAAGTTCATCATTCATATAAAAACAATGTAATCAAATCAAAATAGACATATGTTGATACTTGAACTCATGTTATATAGATTTAATTTTCATTATATTTTGACATACCTTCCTCCTCCACATTGGGACCAAAATTGTACCTGGAATATTTATTTACAGCATCATAAAATTATGTCACTGACATACCGTATTCTTTGTAGTATAAGACGCACTGGAATATAAGACACACCAAGGTTTTGAAGAGTCAATTTTTTAAAAAAAGGTTTTGCACTCTGCAAACCTCCCAAAAATGGCCCATTTTTCACGAAAATGGGCCCATTTTGTTTTAAAAAGGCATGAATAGCCTTTAGGGGGCTTGCAGAGTGCTCCTGGGGGTGCCCCCCAAAACAAGCAGAAATGGCCCATTTTCATGAAAATGGGCCCATTTTTGTCAAAAAAAATTGCATGCATAGCCTTTAGGAGGCTATAGTATTCCTGGGGGTTGGGGGCCCGTTTTTCACTCATTTCTGCCTTCCCCAGCCCCAGGAGCTCTCTGACAACCTTCTACAGGCTCTGTATGGCCATTTTGGTGAAGGGGTTGGGTTTTCGGGAGGCCAAAAATGCTGTATTCAGTGTATAAGATGCACCCAGATTTTCAGCCTCTTTTTTGAGGGAAAAAGGTTTGTCTGCAAAATATGGTAGTAAAAATGAAAAATTGTATTGCAGTCTCACAATTATACCAAGCAGGCCTTTCTGAGCATTATTAGTTATTCCAACAATAACTAAAAACAGATGGTTGGTTAGGTGGCAATACCAAACCAAACTTACCTCAGCAAATTGGTTCTAGTTTACATATACATGGGAGGCCACCAGACATAGTGAATACTATTAGAAAATGCTATCATATTATAATGACACTTTGCTAAGAATATTAAAAGCTACCTGAATTCAGTGGGATTCATTTTAAAATTGAGATGAAAATTAGAAAAATTGCAGGAGAATATATATATGCAGCTGTATCTTATTAATGTTCTAAATACTAGAATTCTGCAAAGATTTCTTTTCAGAACATGAAAGATTCTGCTCAGAAGTAAACAAAGACTTGTTATTTTATGTATCATACAAACCTTTACAGAAAAGAAGTCTAGACAAGGATAATTTTTAGTTTACAGTGAGTAGGGGAAAATATATTTTTACTATTATTGGCTGGAGTTAGTTGATGTTTTAAGGGTGAGGTAGACTAATCTCAAACTGCACTGTAAATCTAGTGTTTTCTTTTGTTCATGACATCTTTTAAATTATTTTATTTATTGTATAGCTCTGGGAAGATGTCCAGGTAATCAACAGTATAAAGAATGTGGTTCTCCATGTCTCAAGACTTGTTCTAATCCTGAATACAGTTGTTCCAGCTACTGTACATATGGGTGCTTCTGTCCAGAAGGTAAATAAAAATAATATGTAGAATCATCTTGGCATGAATATATTTAAGCTTTAAAGATTGTAGCAAGGGGTATATTTATATCCAATGTTTCAGTATGCAGCATTTATAATAATACTGTAGATCTCTCTCCCTTTCAAGAGATAATGTTAGGTTATTTACCTGAATTTTCTTGTAATGGATATTTTAATAATACAGATAGTCTTCAATTTATGACCACCACTGAGCTCAAAAGTCTCACTCTCAAAAGTGAGACAGCTGGATGTTTAGGGTACTTTGCATCAATCACATGGCCAATAAACTATTGCTACAATATTCATAAGTGTGAAAAATTATCCTGTCACTTTTTTCAGTGCCATTGTAACTTTGAACAGTGACTAAACAAACTGTTCTAAGTCAAGGATTATCGGTACTTCTCTTGAATCAGAATGTGGATATTGATTCTCAAAATTAGTATAGCTGCAAATAACAGCAGTAGCATTTGTCACTTTCCCTTAGGGAAAACAGAGTTGGTTAAGTGATCCTTTCACTAAACATACAGTAAAACCAGATGAGACAGAAATGTTTTACTTCATGATTTCCTATGTAAAAGGCTTTCTTGCTGCTCAAAGACAGAGATGCACATCTAGGCTGGCATTTTACCACATCAGGATTCAGAATGAATAGAAAAACCGGAACTTGAGTATGATATTGATAGTTAAGTGAATGGATCCAATTTATTCCAGAGCAATAATTCTTTTGCCAAACCTCAAACTTTGTGCTATTAAGATTAATTAAACTGTTTCTCTTTAATTTGTTCTTATGTTTTCCTTTCTTATCAGGCACAGTTTTGAATGACATTTCCCAAAACCAAATATGTATTCCTATTGAAGAGTGTCCATGCACATGGAAGGGGGAGATATTTGCTCCTGGTCATGTCATTAAAGCAACTTGTAGAACATGGTGAGAACTCTTACAAGACCTACAATAATTATTTCAGTAATAGCATTTATGTTATACCAAGTGAGGCTAGTTTTTATTATAAGAAAAGCATTAATACATTTCAAGCACTATGAGACCAATCTGTAAGTATGAATATTTTGTAAATGATATATGAGCATCCATGACTAACTTACTTTTCACAGCTGATAAAACAACTATATCTCCCTCAGTTTGCAATATTAACATTCGTTATTAACACAGTTAATACAGCAACACAGCAGATGATAATAGATCCCAAGTTTTTGCTCACTGGTGTGATTGATTGATTGATTGATCAATTGATTGATTGATTGATTGATTGATATATGCCATCAAATTATTATAGACTATTGGTGATCACATAGATTGGTTTTCTCCATGAAGATCTGCCCCAGTCTGATCTTTCAGCTCTTCTAACAGCAGTCCATTAACAACAAAACTGGATGAATCCACCTAGTTGCTGGACATCCTATTTCCTTCCACATTTGCCATCATTAGAGCCTTCTCCAGAGACCTAGATTGGCTGATGTAAATAACTCCTAAATAAATGTTTAATATTGGGCTATTTCATCAATAGAAAGGACTAAGCTGGATTTCAGTGATGTTACTTCTTCCTGTAATTGTTCATTACCTCTGAAAATCTGTTCTGAAGGATTATACAGTACACTCAAAATGTATATAGTTTTGCTCATGAACTGAAGTTATTGTGTTAGTGTAAGATTACTTAACATCCATTGAGACAATACTAACTATGTTTCAAAACTATGTGAGAATTCTTGACCTAATTCCATGCTATTTATTGACACAGATGTTTCTGGGTACATCACAAGAGAGAAAAAGGATGATTATTTGAAACAGATAAATAATACAATCTCTAGTACAATCATCCAAAAGTAAACTTAATTTTGCAAGTTAGTCCTCTCTGCAATTTTTGCCACTTGCCAGCACCTCTTTATTTTTAAAATAAAATAAACTAATGTTTTAATCAAAGTATCAATTGAAGTGGAAAATCAGGGGGGGCTCAAAGTGAGGTATACAGTATAGGCACGTTGATGATCACAGGTAGTTACTTTTGGAAATCTAGAAGGTTAGTAAACTTAACTCTGCACATTAAAGTATTAAATTCTGTACATTATAAACTTTATCTACTCCACCCAACCTTAAATTTATAATGTTCTCTCCCAGGAATTTGTGCGTAGAATGTAAACTTCTTTAAAAGGAACTTAGGCTAACAGACAGTAATGCTGGACAGGTAAAGTCAAGGATACTTTGATGTCAAGTACATAATGTCAAAGAGGCTACTCCGTATTGCTTACATGTTTGTTTAAAACTGGTTGATTAAGGCTATTATATATATTATTCTTGACATCAGTTATTCTAACCTTTAGATGCTTATTTGCTTTTTCATAATGATTCTTCCTTAAGGCCTATTGATTTCAAAATATTGTTGCAGAAAGAGGGGTTTTTGATACAATCAGACCTCCTTGGTTAGTAGTTGACCTGTATATTTCTTTCCACCAGTAAATGTACAATGGGCCAATGGACCTGTACAGAACAACCATGTCCTGGCACGTGTTCTTTGGAAGGCGGTTCCTTTGTCACCACTTTCGACTCTAAACCATACAGGTTTCATGGTGTCTGCACTTATATCCTTTTGAAGGTATTTTATATATTAAAACTCTTGTTCAACTGCTACTCTTTAATTTCATCCATCACTTAACATTTTCAGAAATATCTTCTTGGTATGTGGTATTAAGATTATTATCCTTTAATTAGAACATCCCTTTACGATTCTCTTTTTAAGGATGTAGATAGATATTTTCCAGTCCTTAGACCAGTGTTTTTCAACCTTTTTTGTGCAAAGGCACACTTTTTTCATGAAAAAAATCACAAGGCACACCACCATTAGAAAATGTTTAAAAAAATTAACTCTGTGCCTATATTGACTATAGGCGGGTGTTTTTCCCACGGCACACTTTACACTATGTCACGGCACACTAGTGTGCCGCGGCACAGTGGTTGAAAAATACTGCCTTAGACTATGGTATTTTTTTTCCATATTCTTGGTATGTTCTTTATTGTTTCCTGAAGTCTCCTATTTATACATTGTTTTAACGCCTATTTGATATCCTCCTCAACCACCATTCATCCCACCCCTCCTTTTCTCTTCCTCTTTGTCAAAAGACAATGTAATCTAACTTGGCCTTTTTGTACAGGTTTCTTTCCATATATTATTTCCATCTTTTCCCCCATGCTCACTATCACTAAGTCTTTTCCAAGCACTTCATGATGTAAGAGGTTGGAATCTTCCCATGGTTTCTTGGATATTCTTGAATCCCCTGTTCTTTTCCCTGTCATTTTCTTCTATATTTATGAGTTCAGACAACTGCCACTTTTCACCTGTTATTGGATGTTTACCAGCTTTTGCATAATCTATTCTGGCTTTCCTTACATGCCATTTCTTAACTACTTCTATAGCCTAGTTCTATAACTTTGATAGATGGCTAATGTGTTCTTTGTTATCTTCTAGCTTTTGTTTTATGCCTTCTATAAAGTAAGAGTGCTAGTCAGTTCTTAACTATTTAAATATATGCTCACTGATGTCATTTGTTTCTTTCAAGCTAAGTAGGTATAGGACTGCTTACTGAAATCTTAATCTACTTTCCGTATCTACTCTTGCAGAATAAAACTGCCATATTAACTGGTTATGGGGCCATCAAACTGTGTGTGCACATATAATTACATATAAAGCTTTTAGTAAATATTGTTTTATTTATATAAGCGATTTGCAAAACTCACTACACAGAGAGGCAAAAACATCATAGAGGAATTAGTTATTTCTATTATATTATTCCTGTTATGCTTTTCTTTGTGTTTGTGTGCCTTCAAGTCAGTCTTGATTCTTGGTGACTACCTGGACAAATCCCCGTAGTTTTTGGAAGAAGTTTGCCCTTGGCTACTTCCTAAGGCTAGGAGAGACTGACTGGTCCAATATCATCCAGCTGGCTTTATGCCTAAGGCAAGACAGTTTCTAGCTTGGTGTCTTAACCACTAGATCAGGTTGGCTCTCTGTTCTCATTGCAGTATGGATATTAAAGGGCTAAATAACATATTTATTAATATATGTCAATATGGCTTTCTTAAAAACTGAAGCAATCTCCCTAGCTATCAATGTCAGCCTGACTGGTCTTGAGTCCCACATATCTTCTCTTCTATTCTGGACCCATATATCTTTTGAAGATAAGGGTAACATTGGCCTCCAGTCATCTTTCTTATTGCTTATTGTCTATAAAAAAAGAAAACGTTAAATCAGATCAATGAATCATACCCCAGGATGCTGCCCATCTCTTTGTGGAGATTTAAACACATTTATATTATACCTAAATTCTTTGACTATGTTTCCATCAAGTTCCAATCTTGTCCTTCAATGAATCAATCAGAATAGAGCTGGAAGGGACTTTTGAGGTTTTCTAGTCCAATCCCTTCCTCAATCAGGATGCCATATACCACTTCAGACAAGTGACTGTTCAGTATCTTCTTAAAAACCTCCAATGAAGAAGCACCTATAACGTCTGAAGGCAAGCTGTTCCACTGGTTAATTGATCTCACTGTTAGGAAATTTCTCCTTAATCCCAGATTGCATGTCTTCTTGATCAGTTTCCATTGGTTGTTTCTTATCCTGCCCTCTGGTGCTTTGGAAAATAAGATGACCATCTTCTCTTTGTGGCAACCTCTCAAATACTGCAATACTGCTGTCATGTCATTCCTAGTCCTTCTTTTCTCTAGACTAGCCAAACCCAATTCCTGCAATCTTCATTCTCTTCGTTACAATTGTCTGGTGGAACATGTACCTTCTTGTTAGTAAAGACTGGTCCAAAATAGAAGCTAAAATAAGACTTAGTTTAAACTATCCCTGTCTCCATTTGGATGTAAAAAAGTAAAATATGAATGAAACAAATGTGTTCATAAATATAATTAGTCCAGTGAGCTACTATCCCCTACACAGTAGCTCCATCCTGAGTATGAATATATGGATTGCAAACATTTAACACAACTTATAAAGTTGGTAGAGTAGTGATAGAAAAGAAGTGAAAGAAGGTGGGCGTTTTTTTCCTTCTATTGCATTTCTTTCTTTTCTAGAGCTCCATGTTACCACACAATGGAACTTTAATGGCTGTTTATGAAAAGTCTGGCTTTTCCAGTTCAGAGACATCCTTGGCAGCTATCATTTATATCTCAGAAAAAGTAAGTATCCAACCCACGGATAATATTTCACCTGATATAATCAAATGTAGCCATTATAACATAAAAACATTATCCCCCCATTGACATTCAATCTACTTAGTGGTGGATAATGTTTTCAGATACAAATACACAGAGTGCAGAACAGAGTGACAGAAATATGTGTGCCTGGAAGCAAAAATAATGATATGAAAAATTCTTCAAACCATTGACCTGGTTTGCACATTATACAAAGCTATGTTTTGTTCAACAATGACTTTATTATGTAAATAACAATTGAGTAGTTCTTAAAATTGGTTTGCAGAGTCCCTGGTGTGGTCACTCAATCTCACAAGATTTTAGCATTTTCCCCTGAAATATCATGAGATGTTGTAATTCTTTTGCAAAATTGAAAAAGTTTTAGATGCAAATACTAAAAATATGTGAAACTTGATGAAGTTGGTTTGAAGAAGGCTATTTTATTTACCTATATTTATATTCTAAATCTAGCCATAGAAAAGTTCAATATTTTGCTGGTCTTAGAACTAACCCTGGTTTCTAATTAGGATTCTGTTTTATGAACAGGAAAAAATTATGATTTCCAAGAATGAAGTGTTTGATGATGAGAATGAACTTAAGTGGTTACCTTACACAACAGGTAAGGGAAGGGAGACTATGGAATAAGCATTCAATAACTTGATGGTTTCGCCAACAATATGCATATTACCTGTATATATTTTCTATGTTAATTGCATTAATAAGTATTATATTCCAGCTAGATGGGATGCACATTTAAATAAACACAGCCTAAAAGCAAAGTTTGCAAAAAGTTTTATGTTTAATTTAAATCATGGTTTAAATAGATAAACTGCATTCAATATAATTTGCTTATCTAATCTATTGTATTTTAGGGGACATCACCATCTTCAGACAATCATCAACTCACATCCAGATGTACACGCCTTATGGGCTGGAGATATTAATTCAAACTGGTGCAATATTTCAAACTTACATTAAAGTTGGACGCCATTTTAGAGGCACAACCCAAGGTAAACAGTTTTCTTGATTGGTGATTCTCTATCGGGAAAGCTGGAAGCCCTTGCCAAAGAATAATAATGCTCTGGAAAAGCATTTCCAGAGTTTTATTTTCTACTAATGCAAATAGATGAACCTTTCTACAGAGAATTTTCTTTGGGACTGAGGACATACATATCATTATTGTTAACACCAGTATCCTCTTTCAAATCAGTCCAAATCTGTGGAACAAGCCATTCATACAGGGATTTCTTTACTGAATGTGGAAGCCACACAATATTGAGGTAGATTTTCTGTGCCAAACCTGAGAGGAAACTTGAGGCAGGGGTGAAATCATCTTACCTTCACTACCGGTTCACAAATGTGAGCACACGCACCACCTCTGTACATGCGCAGACCATCAAAAATGGGACATAATGACATCCGGAGGGGGGCCAGTGGAGCCTCCCACCGCCACTGCTGCCGATTTGTCCAAACTGGATAGAACCGGCTGAATTGCACCACTGACTTGAGGGGATTGTTAAAAGCCTTGCCCATAGTTATTGATCAGGAGTTATTCTGATTCTCTTCACTGTCTCCTTTTTTTGAGACTGATATATTTATTTTATTTTTTACTTAAGGAATGAATTAAGCTACCCAAATAATAAATAATAGCAACATGCATCTGTTCTTGAGTAAAAACTATTTTAGTAACTGAAGTACTCTATGAAAGAGTAAGAAATTACACACATAGGTAGTCCTCTACGTATGACCAGAATTGAGCCCAAAATTTCTATTGCTAAGTTAAACTTTTATTAAATAAATTTTGCCTCATTTTACGACCTTTCGTGTCACAGTTGCTAAGTGAATCACTGCAGGTGTTGTTAGTAACACAGTTGTTAAGTGAATCTGGTTTCCCCATTGACTTTGCTTGCCAGAAGGTTGAACACATAACCCCAAGGCACTTCAATGGTCATAAATATGAGTTGGTTGCTATGAGTCCGAATTTTGATTATATGACCATGGGGATGTTGCAACAGTTGTAAGTTTGAAAAACAGTCATCACTTACTTTTTTCAATGCCATTGTAACTTTGAATGGTCACTAAATGCAAGTCAAGGACTATCTGTACCAGGAGTGGGTTCCTGCCAGTTCTAACCTCTTCTATAGAAGAGATTCCACAAATCTACAGTGTCGTTTAGAACTGGTTCCTCCCTCCACCCATCCACACATCATCAAGATGAAGAGCGAGAAGAGCAATTCTGGGAGTTGAAGTCCACAAGTCTTAAAGCTGTCAAGTTTTTTTTTCTAAAGGGTTAGGGGTACAAGGGTCTTGTAAGTTGACGGCTTTAAGACTTTCGTGCTTCAAATGTCAGAGTTTCTGAGCCAACATTTTGGTTGCTAAGCAAGAGCGTTGTTAAGTGAGTTCCACCACATTTTACAAGTTGGCCATGCTCACCCAGTCACATGGCTGGCAAGCCACTCCCACAAAGCAAGCCATACCTACAGAAGAGATTCTAAAAAATTTTGAAACCCACCACTAACCTGTACTGATGCCCAAACAATATAAAACTTTTTTTAAAGGAACAGAACAATGTACTTATGCATGTCATGTCAATAAGATGTCAATAAGATACTTTTACTGGGAAAATAGACTTTGAATGACTGTACTACTAAATATGTATAAACAGATGAATAACAGTGGAACTTAGGGAGCGATTAGGGAAATATATGTAAATACATATTAATCTAAACATGTGTATTAATAGTAGAATTATATGGATTGAAGAACTGGAAAGAAAATGAATAGAAATACCTTAAATGAATAAATGATTGTGATTGATACTTAAAACTGTATAAGGAGATATTGAAAAACGTAAGAATGAAGGATGGAATGTTGATTTAACTATGGAAATATGAACAACAAAATAGGTGGAAAACATGTCTTTGAATATTATAGTGATATGAAAGGGAGGAGTTAAAATAGGGATGGAAAATAGTGGGGAAATAATAATTATATATTAATATGTTAAGATATACAAAAGGACAGAAAGATGGTTCAGAAAGGAAGATAATAAAAGACATGTATAAATAATATGAAACAATTCAAATGAAATGTAATATTTAGGTATAATAAGACTATATTTATGGTACTGAAATGTATGTTACCCAGCTACCATACCATTCATACTATGTATAAAGAATATAAAAAATAAAAATTTGATTGAGTACATTTTTTAAAAAGATACTTTTCATTACTGATATATAGTTTTAAAAATCCTTCCTTTTTTATCATTGTTATCTTCTCATTTCACCAGGGCTATGTGGTAACTACAATGGAGAAACCACAGATGATTTCATGACCAGTATGGATATTACTGAAGGAACTGCTCCTCTTTTTGTGGATTCTTGGAGATCTGGGTACTGTCCATCTGCTGTTGAAAGAGATACAGATCCTTGTTCTATGAGTCAGCTGAACAGTATGTGAAGTATTTGGTCCTTTGTGGGCATGGGAGGGGACAGAAGATGTAAATTATGATAAATATATAAAAGGAAGGTCATAAAAGTATCCCACCCCCACCAAAAAAAGTTTTCACTTGTGTGGAAGAGAAGAAATGTTTATGAATAAGACTTCTAGGAGTAATATCACCTGATGGTTATTTATTTATTTCGTTCTAGTTTACCTCATGGCTCCATTTAAAAGATTTGAAAAATGGTGCTTGAGAAGCAGTGCAGTGCCTTTTCCTCCTGTATTCTTTCCTATCTAAATAGTCTCTCCCCAGGGGTGGGTTCTGGCAGAGACTAGCAATTTTAGTTGTACTGCGTATGCACATCAAGCGCACACACATGAGTGGTGCATCCCTGAGGGATGCGCCACTCATGTGTGTGTGCGCTTGATGTGCATACGCAGTACAACTAAAATTGCTATGCGCATGCGCAGAAGCAAAAACCAAGGAGAACCGGTTAGGGGGCATGGCAGGCTTGGATCGCTGCTGGTTCCAGTGACCCAGGCTGCCAAGCTACTATCGGTTTAGCCGAAGTGGTCCAAACTGATAGGAACCCACCACTGTCTCTCCCTCATGAGAAGCAGCTACAATTCTTGGTTATGGTTCTCTCATGGCTGTACTCAAAAGAATCTAGATCCAGCTATCCTACTCTTGCCATACATAAGATTGAACCACAGGTGGGATTCAACCAGTTCTCACCAGTTCACCCAAACTGTTAGTTAATTGTGCAGTTTGGCGAACCAGTTAAAAATAAAGTGCAAGAGAGGGTTTTTTTCCGCTCTCTCCCTTCAGTTAATAGCTCCACTTAACAGTTACAGCTGGAATGCAGTCCATACATACTGAATCAAGTCAATCAACAACAGAAACTGACAGGATTAGGGCAGCAGAACACATCGATCAGTCATCTAAGGATGGGATTAACCAATTCCCTTCAGGAAGAAGGACAAGATTACAAACATTTTCATTATAAAGAATATTAAGTAACACTTCTGTGATCAGCTGATACTCCCTGGAGTTTGCCAGGACCTTTTAGAGCTGCTGCAGTGTTGGCTACTTCTTGTTTCTTCCTGGGAGAAAAAATACAGGAGGGGACAATGATGCAGTTGGATCATACAGGCCGTGAATTTAGTGCATGTGTGGTCCTGCCAGCTGTATTGTTTCTGCTGTGAAGCACCCAATTTAGAACATAGAGAACATAGAATAATAGAGTTGGAAGGGTTAATGGTTTTTGACAGCACATCCAGGCTTTCAATTGGCTTCAAGAACTGCTCTTAGTTTCCCTCTCAGCTGCTGTGTTTGCTTTGGGGTTGACTTTTTTTTTTTAAAGGGGGAATGGCTGTTTTAAGTTATCTGCATTGTTTTAGTGGTGCCTGGCACTGTCCTTTTGAGGTGTACTTCCGTCACTCTTTTTGAAAGCTTCTAGTGATGGAGCACCCACAACTTCTGAAGGCAAGCTATTCCATTGGTTGATTGATCTAACCCTTGGGGTGGGGGTCATGTGACTGGATGGGAGTGACATTAAGTTGGCCATGCCCACCCACTCACATGACAACCCAGCCATGCCCACCTACTCACGTGACCAAGCTACGCCCACCAAGCCACGCCCACAGAACTGGTAGTAAAAAAATTGAATCCCACCACTGGATTGAACCACCTGCAGGGGAGGAATAATACATAGTTTTCTAGTTTTTATCCTCAATGCTGCTGTCTCTCTTCTTTTCTGAAATATATGGAACTGTATATAGTGTATTTCAATATAAATTCAGTGAGACCCAGTGAGGTATGGTGGTTAAGCAGTGGTAGGTTGCAGGTGGTACGCCCCACTACGGGCATAACGGAGCCTCCCCGGAGCAACAGGTACCGTTCCGGTATGGTGCTTTGGAGGACCCACCCACTCGCCCATGCTCCTTACCTGTCTTTAAACTCCTCAGGGCTTCCGCACACATGCACAGTATGTACAGCGCCTGCGTGATGCTCCACTAAGCAGCTGGAGTGTCGTGGAGGCATCGCTGGACACCAGGCCCTGTTGCAACCGTACTGGTTGCAAAGGGATCCAGAACCCACCACTGTGGTTAAGGCACCAGCTAGAAATCAGGAGATTGTGAGTTCTGTTTCCCCCTCAGGCACAAAACCTGCTGGATTATCTTGGGCTTCTCAGTCTGTCTCAACCCTAGGGAGAACCACTTCCCAAAAATCTTGCCAAGCAAACTAAGGGACTAATCCAGGCAGTTTCCAGAATTCAGTAGTTACTTGAAGGTACACAAACACACACACAAGCAAAACTAAAACGTTCAATAGTACAATTTTTACACAGTATGAAAACTCTTTGAGGTACTTGGATTCTTTACTGTATGATTTGATAAAGGACAATGACATAAAATTGAGAGATTTCATTCCAAAACTAACTAACTTACTAACTCACTTCATGTCACTTTCCTTTGTTTCACTCAGCTCCACGTTATTTCACTTCAATTGACAGATAATATACACAATTTGGAATAACAAATGCCTAAATAAAACTTCTCCTTAATCACATTGGAAGATGACAGAATCAGCAGAAAATCTGACTGGTTGGGGGCGGGTAGAGAGAACAACCAGTATATAAAAACTCTGGAAATCTAGAAACCTTTTATGGATTTTTCTTTTTTGCTAAAAAAAATAATGTTTGTGAGGGGTTGAAGTAATGATTTATGGATTTGGTGACTGAATAAAGTGTTGATTGTGGGATAGAAGGAATTTTTCAAGCATAATTTTAAAGAGAGGGGAGGGATAATCTGTTTGCAACCACCACAAAAAAGATTGGCAGTCTCTTCTTTAATTTTCTTTCCCCCCCTTCTTTTTCTAATTGTATTGTTTCTTGTACTTTTTCTTTTATCTACATACATACATACATACATACATACATACATACATACATACGCTTCTCCTTAATTTACTCTAATAATTGCTGCCACCTTTCAATAATTGCTTCATATTTATTGTATCCTGAGGAGATTAATTTTCTTTTTACAATAATAGCTATGGCCTTTGTTGTTATTATTATTGTCTTGGTTGAAGAAGAGCGTTTTCTAATATCATACTTCAGTATTGAATAGTTTCAGTGACATGATTTCCTAATGGATTGCATTCTCACAGCTCAGGTACAGTCCGAGCAATTATTATCTGAAGCTGCTGTCTGTAAGTTCCCAACTCACAATCATACATTATTAATACAACCATGCTAAATGCATTTCCAGTCTGCAGATGATAAGTTGTTATGGGAGAAGTACAGATTGTTTTTTAAAGTCTTAGAAGATGATTAGCCACTAGAATAGCAAGCGATATGGCAGCAGTTATATTATTTAAACATTGCCATTCTATATAAAAAGCATAAACTTTTGAATTTTGGAGATAACCATGCAAAAGGGTACACATCATGTTTATAACTGAATAAAAATATTCATGCTATATAAACGGGAAAATTAACTAGGGAATGGATATTTTATATTCAAAATTAAAAATAGATTAAAATTGGCTAGGCTTCTAGGATCTTTAAGAAAAACATTAAAATATAACTTTCACTGGAATATGTAGTGAGAAATTCAGCCAGGGAAATAATTACAATTCTAGTTTGACTATGGTCTCCAAAGTTATATTCAATTTTCATTTTAAGATTGGTATCATTGAAATTGTTTCATATCTGTTTTTTTCCCTCTAGAAATATGTGCAGAGACCTACTGTTCTGTTTTAAAAATGAATACACTATTTCAGAAATGTCATTCTGTGGTGAATCCTGATCCATTTATCAAGGTAGGGATTTTTGTGTTCTGAGGAGAAAAACTGCTGGACATTAGATTATGAAATGCATGACAGAGTTCAGTAGCAATTGTTATTTGGGATTTAATATTTTTCCAGATTTATTTTAAATAATCTTTACCAGATCTACACACATTTTAAGAGCTTATGTGATCTAAGGAACCAAGGCCCCGAGCTACAAACCAAGAGATCCTGACATTTAGTCATATCTTAGGCATGAAAGCCAGCTGGGTAACTTTGCTCCATTCACACGCTCTCAGACCCAAAGACCTGTTTTGTGGGGAAAATAGAAAGAGGAAGGAATATTATGTATGTATGGTTCATATTATGTATGTATGTTCACTGCCTTGAGTTATTTATAATAATAATAAAGGTGGGATATAAATAAATTAGACAAGATGGCAGAACAGAGGAATAGCAGGAATAATAACACATTTAAAGAGAAGCATACAAAAGCTATCCCATTCCATCAAAGACATATCTGGAAATAAATGGGAAGAAATATAGTTGCATCAGGTCCATGCACCCCTTCTTCTTCTGCTTGGATGCAAACATTTTTCTGTGGCTTCTGATGTTACCCAGAGTCCAAAATATTAGGTAGAGACAGACCTTGGAAAGGAAGAAATAACCACATTGGGTAGTCCAATCCATAATAACATTGAGAGATGGAACAGAACCCTCTATTCCATTAGACGTTCGCTATAAAGCATCTTTGAACTGATTTATGGCTTCTGTAAAATCCAAAACAATTTTAGTGATAAATGGCCTCCATTTCTCCAAAGGCCAAGCTACCTTTTTTAAAGATCATGAACTCAACCAAATAATATTTCTCATCTTTTCTCTTTTCCCCTTCTTAAAAAAAGTATGTTTAGTCAGAAGAAGATCCAACTAGCATGTTCCCAGATAAATAGGTTTGGGGTAGAACCATTAAAGACTTGTTCTTTATAGTCAGAAATGTCATATTATGACATGTGGAATCAGGATAATAAGGCAAATTTGTCCAGGCTAGAGAATTACCAAATTTGCTAGAGCACTTCAGAAAATAATGCATTTTTCTTACAACAATTCGCACCACAGGATGATGAGTTTATGCTAAAGGTAGATAATGTGAACTGATATGCAATTTCTGTCTGAAACCACTCAACATTTGTTATGCTTATATGACTTGTAGCAGTAAAAATCCAATAAAAATATAGTTCAAAGTGGGCAATTTATCTTATCTGAAGCATTTTGTCAGAGTTCTCACTGAATATTGCTATACCAGGCTCTTCAATTCTTCATTCTTTATAGCTCAGACTACAAATTTCCCTTATTCTCCTGATACATTATTCTACAAATAGACTCTCCAAATATATTTTATTGCTTTTATCAGTTCTATTTTTTTAACTGTGGGTATACATTGCTGGGTGTTTAAAATTAGGTGTTTAGTCTTTCAGGAAACTGTCAGAGAAATTTAGCAGAAAATAACACTTTAAACCTCTGAATATTTATGTATTTTCAGAATATGATTGTGAAAAAAATTGCCAGTTCCCATTACCCAAAATTCCAAAATGAACCTTCTAAATTATAAGGAAATCAATATTTTGCAGTACTTCAACTAATCTTTCATTTAGTGTGCCATCTGAACCAATAAGACACAGTTTCATTTTCATAACAAATACAGTCTTTATTTTGGAATACAAAGTACTGTGTCTGTATTCCTCTGTGAAATGCGGACTTGTGTAAGGACATAGAACTGCTCTAAAACAGTTTCATTGTTCAATAACAAAACAAATCAAATTATACTAGCAGGTTTCAGTGATATACACATGTATCTGAACTAGTTCTAGTGCTCCAACATTCAAGATTTCTGAATTCTGATGTGTTACTGACTAAGTTCAACTTGTTTTCAGAGATGTCAATATCAAGCATGTAACTATGAGGAGACCTTTCCATATATTTGTTCTGCTCTGGGTTCCTATGCCCGTGAATGTGCTTTAAAGGGAATATTTCTTTGGAACTGGCGCAATACAGTTGACAACTGCAGTAAGTAGCCTCCAGATTAGTTTAAGCTACAAGAATTCCTCACTTCACTAAATAGTTTTAATATAGAGTACTAAATATACAGGTAGTCCTTGACTTATGACCACAATTGAGCCCTGAATTTATGTTGTTAAGTGAACAATTTGTTAAAAGACTGATGTCCCATTTTACAACTTTTCTTGCCACATTTGTTAAGTGAATCATTGCAGTTGTTAAATTGGTAGCACGGTTGTTAAATGGCTTCCCCATTGACTTTGCTTATCAGAAAGTCGCAAAAGATGATCACATGACTCCCTAGGACACTGCAACTATCATAAATATGAACCAGTTGTCAAGCATCCAAATGTAAATCATGTGACTATAGAAATGTTGCAATGGTCATAAGTGTGAAAATGGCCATAAGTCACTTTTTCCAGTGCCGTTGTAACTTCGAATGGTCACTAAACAAACTGTTGAAAGTTGAGGGCTACCTGTAGTTGATCTAGTCTTGATAAATAAGTAGTAATGGATTGTGCAATTCTTCTCATATTTGTTGTTCTCGTGTTATCATGTCCACATTGAGCAGGCATTTGAGAAAACTACTGCCAGGATTCAAGGGATCTCTGAGATGCTCCAACTCTTTTTCCAGCAGAAGTCTAGCTAGGTTCACATCATGAATGAGCTTGTATACATAGTGTACTAACACATGTTTCATCTGTTGTGGCCTGCCAGCGGCCAGCAGAGCTAACAGCAGATTCAGACAGTGAGGAGGTTGGGAAGGAACATGGGCCAGGCCTGTTGTCTCTGGAAAGCTCTGATGAGGGCTCTTTGTTGGAAGCAGAGAGGGGGCCAGAGTCGTATGACAGCTGTCAGCTGCTTTCAGAGTCAGACATCAGTGAGGCAGACAAACAGCTGGAGCCTGTGCCCAGTCTGTGCATGCACAGAGTTGCCAGATGAAGGGAACAACTAAAAAACATGGGTCGACTTGGAAGTAAGGGGAGACAATGAATGGTCCTTCCCAGAGGAAATAAAAGAGTGGCATTTGCAGGAAGCAATTAGTTCACTAATTAGTTCATGACTCTCTGAGACTCCTGGCCAAGTTCTGCAGATACCTACCAGCCAGCTCTCCAAGCCAGATAAGGTCTGTGATTGTAAATCCTCCTTTGAAAGATTTTGCCAGCTATAAATAAGCAGAATTCACAGTAAATTAATAAAAGTGATTTTTGTCAGGGCAAGGAGTTTGTTTCATGCTCTTGGGAAGCTTTGGTCAGAACATCACCGGTAGTACAAATCCAGAAAACTTATTTAGTAAGCTGTAATTAAATAACAATCGGAGCATGGTGTCAAGGGGAGATGTTGGGTCACTGAATTTCCAAATACATAACTACTGATTTCTTGTGTAAAGAGAAACAGGGTCATTGAAAGTTTCTGACCATCCAAAGCTAATTGTGTTTGCAGCTGTATCTTGTACTGGAAATCAGACATTCAGCTACAATGCAGAAGCTTGCGACCGGACATGCCTGTCCCTCTCCAGCAGAGAAATTGAATGTCATCCCACCGATGTGCCTATTGATGGCTGCAATTGCCCAAAAGGAACCTACCTGAACCACAAAGATGAGTGTGTCCAGAAATCTCAGTGTCCCTGCTACTTGAAAGGCAGAAAGATCATTCTGGCAGAGCAATACACCGTCATCGATGGAGCTACGTGGTAAGCCTCTGTTGACATCTTTCTGTTAACATTTTTCCACATCAGTTGAAATATGGTTGTTGAACACTAAACTGATTCAAAAGGAAAATTATATAGCTTCTCCTAAATGATTCAGGCTCAAACTTTGTGTTAAAAAAGCCTTGAACCTAAATATCTGTAAGAGCATTTTAATCAGTGGTGCGAGCTTACTGGTTCACTTTGTGCACACATTGCGCACGCACTCTTGCTTCGATCCTGCACGTGCATGCGCAATTTACAGAATACTTACTTTCTGGATTGCTACTTGGGAATGAAAAGAACTGAGGCATGGCAATCCTCTCTGCCGCGTGACTCAGCTGCAAAGATAAAGGTAGGTAAAGCGCAGGGGCGGGTAGGCGGGCCCACTTGCTAGTGGGAGCAAACCAATTCACTCCCACTTGATTTTCGGAGCTACAAGTTTGCCCAAACTGGTCCAAACTGGTAAAATCCCACCCCTGATTTTAATATATCCTTTCTTTTTTAGCTACTGCATTAATGGAAATCTGACTTGTATCGGCAAATCAATGAATCTGTTAGGTATGGATCTTATTTTCTTTCCTAGAGTATCCTTTTCTCCTACATGACAGAAATATCACATTGTGCTTGTCTTGTTTCCCTTTGCAGAAAACTGCAGCCCCCCAAAAAAGTACATTTCATGTTCAGCCTCCAAAGGAAGCAAAGATGGAGTTGCTTGTGCACCAACATGTCAAATGCTGGCCACTGGAACAGGCTGTGTGAGTCAATACATTTGTACTACTTATCAAAAGCATGTGAGAGATTGCTGTAGCTGTATGGTGGGGAGATTAGTTGCACTAATTCTATGATGAAATGTCCTTCTGAAATGTTACCTTTTTACAAGCCAGACTAAAGCTTCGGTCATGAAATGAAATACATATTCTTGGACTATTGATAGCCACACACAAAAGAAAATGATCATAAATACAAAATAGCAGTAATATTTCCCAAGTATCTAAATAATGGAGGGAGAGAGCAGGGTCATCAGTTCTAGTCATCACTGCATTGGGACTGAAGTTGTGCCCACAATCCAATTATGGGTGATATGATTCTGATATTGCACCAAATTAAAGAGACAAAAACCTTCCTGCAGTGGTTAATGTCAAAGGGGCTGTGTGGGTGATGAGAGCTGTTTCACCTCAGAAGATTATAACTCTGTGCTCACAAGCGAAGGAAATGAGAAATGCTCTGCTTTACACTGCAGCAGAAAAAGAATAAACCTACAGCATGATAGTCACTACAGCCTGTTTACATATTTCATGAATTTGGAGGTTGCAATTCCAGATCTCCTTTGCTGGGAACAAGGTCCACTAAATTCAGGAGGTTGCACAAGTAAGCATGTTCAAACTATAAATCTCATTCCTCCAGTCTCAATATGTGCTCTCATTTTAGACTTACGTTTGGGATCTATTCATCTTCATAGTTCCAAAGCCACAATCTGATATGAAGTTTAAAATGTTAGATTAGCCCAGGGAGACCTAGATTCAAGTCCATCCTCAGCCACAGAAGTTCACTAGATGACTTTGGGACAGTCATTCTCTCTTGGGTCTACCTTACTCAATGGGTAATGGAGGTGGGGGGAAATGGGAAGAGGAAGCACTTTGTACATTGCCTTGACCTCTTGCAAAGGGCAGAAATAAGAAATATTGCTGAGAAATAATAGAAACAATAAGCAACAAACAGACTAAAACATATGGATGCAGATGTTCTTTATAGCTTAACACAATGATGTGGAATTCATGCAAGAATGTGGCCCAATAGTCCAACTATATGAAAGAGCTATTGTCAAGGAATTGTTTACAAAGCACATCTGGACCTATAGTTTTTATGGGAAAGTTGAGGAGAAGTGGAGTCAAATGTTCATCCACTGTATACCATCATATAGTATATTCTCCCTAACATGGATGGTTGTCATAAATCACTATCTCTTTTGCAGCTGGAGTAATATATGAAGAATATCACTTATTTTCACTGATAATCAATTGCTCCAATGACACCGTGGTATCAATCAATTTTTGCATTTGAACAAAGTTTATGAGACTGTTGAGTTGATTGACTGCTTTAAAATTAAGCTTCTATTGGGAAAGGCTGCAAGAATATGAACACATCCTTATAAAAATCTTAAAGCAACATTTGGAAAACTGATTACAGTTTAATTTCATAAAATCTAGTATCAGTCTTGTTAATTGTATTTTCTGAGACTACACCAACTCACTACATGTTTATAATAGTGATATTTATAGTTGTCATTTAACAGCGTAAAGCAATTGTGGAGAAGTTGAATGTACTTAGTGTATTTTTAAAAAATGCTCAGTAGTTCAGTAAAGCTCGGTGCCTCTGTGCTTCAGGTACCCTTAGTTTTCCATATGCCGTTTTTAGTACATGACAGAGTCGATATGCTTGATCTTTTCCAGATTCCTACCAAATGTGAATCTGGATGTGTTTGTGAATCTGGACTATATGAAAAGCTAGATGGTACATGTGTGTCACCTGAGGAGTGTCCGTGCGAATATGGTGGCATTTCATATGAAAAAGGAGAAGAAATTAACACGGAGTGTAATACATGGTAAGGTTTCTCATTCCAATCCTTTGCATCCTTGGCCAAATTTTGCAAGATTCAATTAATAATTCATATGCCTTGGAAATGTCACATCTCCACTTCTATTCAGTTCATTACACTCCAGCTAGTGAAGCAACGCTAATCAAATATATGAACTTAGAAAATAAAAAAATAGTGTCATATGAAAACACCAAGGGAATTGTTTTCACAAAGCAGCATGCAAAATTTTTATCCATTTCAAATCTTTCTAACAAGTACTTTATGTCTTCTCAGTACCTGCACAAGAGGAAAATGGAAGTGCATTCAGAATTCCATGTGCTCTTCAACATGTAGTCTCTACGGGGAAGGTCATGTCACCTCCTTTGATGGACAGCACTTTGCATTTGATGGCAACTGTGAATACATATTAGCTATGGTATTTTTTTCTTTTACTGTACCTTGCACACCTGTGGATAATGTCCTTGAAACTTGGTAATTAGGTATGCTCAAATAAAATAATTCAAGCTCTGTGGTCTGGAGTAAGCCCAGGTTACTTGAGTTATAACCATTTGTTAAGTGATAATTCAAAGTTCCAACAGCTCTGAAAAAAAAGCGAGTTACAACCAGTCGTTGCACTTAAAACAGTTGCAGCAGCTCCAGCTCACTTCTGGATTTGGCAACAAGAGATTTTCCTCACCCATCCACCCCCCCCAAAAAGAGCAATATCAAAATGGATGCATTTTCACAAAAAAGCTAGCCTATAGAAGCAACCCCTTCACCACCTAATGTTTTTGTATGGCTTCCACTGCACAAAATGCACTGCATTTTTATCACTAAGTGCCATTCCTATATTCAAAAATGATATAGGAGTTGTAATGAATTCAAAGAAGACCTGCTAATATCTTCTTTCTATGTTAATTTTCTTTCCACTAGTCCACACTCAGATCTTGATATTTTTTATGCACTTTACATATAGGAGAAAAAAAATGAGACTAAAAGTATGTAAATTATGTTAAGCATTAATGAGGTGACCTTTGACATCACTAAAGAAAAACTGGGAATAACTTTACAAATAAAGGAGAATGAATGAGGACTAAGATCTGCTTACAATGATAACTGATAGATATCCTTTTACTCTCGTTTAAATAGAATGGAATGTACTGTAACAGAAAACATTTTGCCCACGTGGACTTTATAATAAGCTAACTTCAGTGTTCATTATTCCTCATAATTCATCATCCTTAAGCTGGAATTGAGTGAATCAACTCTCCAAACAGAGAATGCCATTCAAAAACAGGAACATCATCTGACAGTCCTATAGGCAGAACCATAAACTAGGAGATGTGGTTACCTAAATTGAACTTTACATCCCTAGCTCAAATCTTGATCAACATCATGGTTAGATGAAATATCCTTCAGTCTGCTTGGGTTTAAGAGGCTCTATTTGTACCTTAATTCATTGCATGCATTTTTGCTATTCTGAATAAACTAATTATTATCTGGCTGTGCGTTCCCTCCTAGGATGGCTGTGACATGGCTAAATCTCCACATACTTTTAAAATAGTGACTGAAAATGTTGTCTGTGGAAATACTGGGGTCACGTGTTCCAGAGCAATCAAGGTCTATCTTGGGGTAAGAACATGCTGTAGTTAATTATTAGGCATGAAGAAGAGTGTTGCCATGCTGAGGCAATGGACAGAGAGTTGAGAAAAGAAAGAAGTACTATTTGTTAGGAAGGAAGCTGCTAAAATATTAATCAGTGGTGCATTTTAAAAGGACACTGTACTCTACTTTTAAAAAAATGGTCCACAAATCCCAGTGACTTGCATTACAGTCATACCCAGAAGGTAGTTGTGATGAGAAGTATTTTTGCATATCTTAGGTAGTGTGCACGGTGACCTTTTTTTCCTTGACAAATCGGATCTGTCTAGTGTGATAGATGGGAAATGTAGAAAAAGCTGCTTATAGCAAGCCAGATCCATCTAGCCTAATACACTCTATGGCAGCAGCCTTTTCTTTCCACCTCCTATTTAATTGTCCCAAAGGTGCTTATATCTTATAAATAAGATATAAATCCTTTCATTGTCAGAACTGAAGAAGCTTCTTGGATGAGAAGCAAAACATCTTCAAGTAAAAACAAAGGAAGTCCAGTTGTCTTTTGAAAAAAAAAAAACACCTTTGGGACATCCATGACCTGGATGATTGAGAATCTCTATAGACATTCTCCTATTTAATTCTTTTTTTATTGAAAGTCCCTGAGATTTAATCTGATTTTTCTACACTCTGCAACTGAGCTGTGATCCCTCTCCTTCTGCCCAGACATATCTGTCTTGGTTTGTTGCAACATATTATCTCTTAGGCTAGGGGTGTTGGGAAAGGTTTAAATGGAAATAGGAATAGATCTGAGACTATTTTTTCATCCCCGTGTACTTTCTTGACAGAATCTGACAATCGTCATGGCAGATAAAACATATACTATTTATGGTAGCAATCCTCTGATACATTTCTTCATAGAAGAGAATACGCTCCACTTGATTATTCAGATCACCATCCCTGGCAAATACAATATGACCTTGATCTGGAACAGGCACATGAATCTATTCATCAAGCTTTTCAGAGAAACAAAGGTAATGGGAAGTAGATTTCAAGCTTATTTTGCAAGGGAAGTACACGTGTATCCCAACTTCATGCATTGAAACCAAACCTTATCATTTGGGTCTGCCTGAAGCTTTGTACTCTATTTCAATTCTCAGAAAATGAATTTCTGGTGACATATGTATAATGTTGAATAAGTAGTCCTAACGTCATGATATGTTCTTCTGGATATCATTAGATGCAAGCAGAAATCAGGCAGGAGCAATTGCTGATTTCACACATCATGCTAAAGCTTTTTCATTTTGCATTGTGTGTGTGTGGATCTATCTTAATCTAGTGATTTTCAGCTTAAATGGATTGCAGAGGCCTGGAGGAACATTGTCCATGAGGTCGCAATGGATCGGACAAACAACTATCAACAGTGATTTTTAAGTCATAGTATTTGGCATAGTGTTATAATCAATGCTATTAGGACTTGGTTTGCACTTAACAAATCCACATCATAGTGCAGTTTGGAAGAGCTATCTAGCATTCATTTTCTAGAATTACATTTTTAAAGGCCCATCAAACACATAGGCATGTTTTCTCTGTTCAGAACTACCCTCAGTTGCTTTTATTTGTAAGAGGAAGAAGACACAGCTTCCCATATTTTGTTCTCTAAAGAAAGGGAGCAACAGGGGATTGTAATTTTAAACAAATAAATGGATGACTAAAAGGGAGGGTTGGCCAATTTCTTTTGTCTTGTCTGCTGCTGCCACTGGCTATTATCTGCATAACCTGAAATTACCAGTGTCTCTTTTGCAAATACCTATTTTATGGGACAATGTGTTTTCCACAAATGATTTTCTTTTTAAATTTTAAACTAGAATCATCTTTGTGGCTTATGCGGTAACTACAATGGTAATGTGAAAGATGATTTCGAAACACGGAGTAAATACCTAGCATCCAACGAATTTGTGTTTGTGAATTCCTGGAAAGATAATCCTCTCTGTGGAGATGTGTCCTTTGCAGCTGATCCCTGTACCAAGAACCCCTATCGCAAAGCGTGGGCAGAGAAACAATGCTCTATTATCAACAGTCCAGTATTTGCCCCCTGTCACAATAAGGTAAATGCCTGAATGCCTTTATATTATATTAATGCCTTTAATATACCCCATGCCTCCATGCAATATTAATCTAATTAGCATTCAATTGTTCTTATTATTATTACTGACTGGCCTTTGCTGAATGCAAGGATTAGCTTTTCTAAAACAACTGTTTTCAAACTAACTTTTTGTTCCCCGCCACAGGTGTATCGGATGTCTTACTATGAATCTTGTGTCCGGGACTCATGTGGCTGTGACAATGGAGGAGATTGTGAATGTATGTGCGATACCATTGCCGTCTATGCAAAAGCTTGCTTAGACGCTGGTGTCTGCATTGACTGGAGAACCCCTGACTTCTGCCGTAAGTTCCTTCTTCTTGAAAAAAAAATGAAATTCTAAGTTTCCTGGAGGGCAACTTCAAGGTCTTTGCTCCCTTTTCAGATTGTTGCATCGTAGGTCTGAATTGAAAAAGGAAATAGAGAAATGTTTGGTGTAACTAGAATGCAGGTTATCCAGCTCACAGGCTAACTGGGGCTTCCTAATAAGGTCATACATGATAGGCAACTTCCAGCACAGACTATTAGCTTTTGAACCAGTCTTTACAAAGCTGCAAAAAGCCATTAATTGTCTTCTGTGTGCAATTTCAGGCAAAGGATACAAACAATCTTTAGCTCCAAGGACGTTTTGACAATGCTAAAAGTGTATACTTTTACATAACTCAGATTACAGAGCCATTTGCAAACATTTCCTTGACTTTTGGAATGAGTTGTAAAATCCACTGGTGGTTCATTTCTTTTAAATTTAATTCTGTACAGATCTCTATGTATCAGAAATCAACTTGTCAACTTGATGGTCAACTTGATTTTCTCGTCCTAAGGCAGGACAGAACATTGGCATCATTGTTATAATTCATTATCTGTCTAGGTGAGCTTGCGAATAAGTGATTTCTGCAATCTACTGAACAATAATTTTCTTTCTTTACTTAGCTGTATACTGTGACTACTTCAACAGCCATAAGAAGATTGGCATGGATTATAGTTATGTCAATGAAGTAAATTGCAGTTGGCATTATCGCCCCTGTAAATGTCAAAATATGTTACCAGTAACAGAAGTCAATGTTGAAGGTAAAATAAGACTGTTTGCCTTTTTCAGGGTACAAGCTGTATTAGCCAAGTGTGTAGCAATGGTATCCCATAAATGATGGTCCCTGAAAACTCTTTTCTACTACTTTTTATTGATATTTGCCACCAGATATAATGCCAGACACTTGTCCAAATATTTAGAGCAATTTCCTTAAATTCATCTTATGGCACCAATTTCATGACTATGCTCAGCATGTCTCAGTTTTGAACACTGAATTGGTCGAACAACTGTAGTTGAAGTTTATGAGGCTTAAATAAAAAAAGAGTTCTGGAGTTATTAATATTAAGAATTAAAATGTGCAATTAATTAACAGATACAAGGACTAGCTAATTAGTAGAGTGTTGTAGAGAATGCTAGATTCTTTAAATAATTTGTCCTCAAAATCTACTGAAATAGATTCCAATCTTAACTAATGATCCCTATCTTTTCCAGACTGTGGAAACATAACTATATCTATCTATCTATCTATCTATCTATCTATCTATCTATCTATCTATCTATCTATCTATCTATCTATC